AGCAGTAAAAGACTTAACTTTGCAAAAAGTAGAAGCAATGATGTGGATGGCCAATCTGAGAGGATACAAAGAATGTTTAAAGAGTAATGCATGAAAAATAATGAGAAATTTAATGATAGAATGGAAATCAGGAAATATCTTTAAGAATTACAGGTACATCTTTAAAACACATCAGAATAAATGGAAAGAAGCAATTCATGAGTTAAAGAAAATTTCCAGGAAAGAGAGGCAATGTCAGCCTTTCTGGATTCCAGCTTTGGGTCAACCTCTCTGACTTGCCACTTTCTTTCAAATCTATTAAATTCTCTTACATGTGTTTTAACGCAGTCTGCTATCTATCTTCATTGTAGCATTTTAGGGTGTGTCAGATAGAGAGTGGGGCTTCCCTGATAGCTCAGATGGTAAAGAATCTACCTGCAATGTGGGATCCCTGGGTTCGATCCTTGGGTTGGGAAGATCCCCTGGAGGAGGGCATGGCAACCCACTCCAATATTCTTGCCTGGAGAATCCCCATGGATAGAGGAGCCTGGCGGGCTCCAGTCCATGGGGTTGCAGAGATGGACACAACTGAGTGACTAAGCACAAGCTAAAGAGTGTATCATTCTTTGATTCCTCCAAAATCCTCCTCATAAAGATATTTGCAATGAGAGAGAAGTTGGTTTGTCCCCTAACTTTCTCCTGTCTCAATCAAACACTAGTTTTATTTTTTTCTTCAAGTAACCAGTTTTCCATGAAGATAGCATCTCTTATTGTTTTTGTGAAAGCATGGCATTCTCCTGTAAGAGATGACAATATAACTTGAATATGTGAGATAAAATAGACTGTCATAGATATGCTACTTCTAGTTCGTGCATATCAGTTTAACATGTTGGTGCTGACATGTTTATATTTCAAGAATCATAGAATAAATATCAGCATTTAGAGAAGGTGACTCTGGAATATCCTTATTTGGAGTTTTAAAAAACTGTGGTAGAAAATATTGATACTTTGGAGAAGGAAATGTCAACCCACTCCAGTATTCTTGCCTGGAGAATCCCTGGCAGACGACAGTCTATGGGGTCGCAGAGAGTCAGACACGACTGAGCGACTCCCCCCTCCACAGACACATATTGATACTTAATGTAAAATTGACCATTTTAATATTTTTAGGTGTACCGTACAGTTCAGCAGCATTGTGTTCACATTGTGCTCCTGTTACCACCATCCGTCTCCAAAACTTTCATCTCCCAGAACTGAGACTCTGTACCTATTAAGCTATTACTCCTCACTCCCCTATCTTCCCAGCCCCTGAGAACCACCATTCTACTTACTGTCTCTCTGAATGTGACTACTCTAGGCACCTCATATAAATGGAAGCATACATTGTTCTTTTGTGATGAGCTTATTTCTCTTCCCATGATATCTGAAACTTTTCAAGTTTCACCCATGTAGCATGTGTCCAAATGTCCTTCCTTTCTAAGGGTGACTAACATTCCAATATATATTATATATATAGTATTTTGTTTATTCAGTTGTTGAATACTTGTATTGTTTTCACCTTTTGGTTTATAGTGAATAATACTGCTATGAACATGGGTATCCAAATATCTCTTAAGTCCTTTTAATTCTTTCGTGTATATGCTCAGAAGTGGAATTGCTGGATCATATAGCAGCTCTAAGGTTTACCTAGTGGTTCAGCATTAAAGAATCCACCTGCCGATACAAGAGACACAGATTTGATCCCTGGGTCGGGAAGATGCCCTGGAGAAGGAGATGGTAACCCACTCCACTGTTCCTGCCTGGGAAATCCCATGGACAGAAGAGCCTGGCGTGTTACAGTCCACGGGGTCCCAAAGGAGTTGGACGTAATTTAGCGAGTAAACAACAGCAGCAGTGGTTCTGTGTTCAGCGTTGAGGAACCACCACACCATACAGTTTTCCCCAGTGACTGCCCGAGATTCCGTTCCAACTGCCAGAGCACAAGGGTTCCAGTTCCTCTAGGTTCTTAGTGATCTTAACCATATTTTCTTATTTGTTTGTTTAGGTGGAATGATTATGAGTTGAAGAAGATGAGAAGAGCTAGGTGGCCTTTAAAACCCCACCTGTCCTGTCACCGGTGATGCATGGTCTTAAACAAACTCACTAAGAAGTTCTCTGCTTACCCCAAAGAGTGAGTAAACCTTTTATTAATCCATGATTTTCTCTTAAAGAATAGATTATATGCGTACACTTGATCCTTTAGTACTCACAGCGATACATTTTTCAATGCATGTGTGTCCCCATGCTGACATGGTAGGAATGAAATAGCTTGAGGATGGAGAGTGTTATATTTCTTTGGTTTTGGTGTGTTGCTGTGGGCACAAAGTTAGTAGGGTCTTTGTTTCGGGTTAAGTCCCTTAAAAAGCCCTTGATGTGGAGATTTGTGTAAAAGTGAGTTATCATGAAGTGCTCCCAGGAGAAATCACTAGTGGGATGGGAGAAGACGGAAAGAGAAAGATGAGCCAAACGTGGGTGCTCCATCTAGGGTGCAATATTGTGGAGCAGCATCTCCCCATGGGGGCTCCCCAGGTGCCTCAGTGGTAAAGAATTTTCCTGGCAATGCAGGTGGTGCAGGAGATGTTTGATCCCTGAGTCTGGAAGATTCCCCTGAAGGAAATAGCAACCCCCACTAGTATTCTTGCCTTGGAAATCTCTTAGACAGAGGAGCCTGGCAGGCTGCGGTCCACAGAGGTCTGAGAGTCAGACACGACTTAGCGACTAAGCTCACACCCATGCATCTTTGACTCCCCACTGAGTCACTTTGACTCCCCAGTGGGTCACTTTGGTTCAGTCCTGCCCGGGGCTCTGGAAATAAGCTGGCGTACACTACACAGTTGTCTCAGTCAGGGCCTGGGGGCTTGAGCATTTAACAGCATTGGTAAGATCTGATCTGGAATTCACAGGTCTCCTGTGTGTGTAGGCTAAAAAGCTAATTCTGGCAATGGAAGGCAACCTTCTAGCTGACTTGGGTATTGGCTGCTGGGATAGGAACCTTACTGGGCATGTGCTTGAAAACAGCAGAAACATCCAAAGGCCTGTGCTAGAGGAGGACGGTCTCTTCTGTTGCTGTTGTCTAGTTCCTGAGGCGTGTCGGAGCCCACGGGCTGCAACCGTCCAGGCTCCTCTGACAGGCCCCGATCCATGTGTCCAGAAAGGCAGCACGTGTCCGGATGAACACAGACAGGCCTTGTGCTCATTTCTTATCAGTCATTCCATATAAATAACATGGAGGAAGAACTTTGTATCAAAACTTTATTTATTAAACAAAAAAATGCACCATTGGAATAACATTTCTATAAAAAATGAATATGAGACTGTTCTACAGTGATTACAAAACCCCTTTTTCCTCGTGTAGTAGAGTATACAAGATCATGTGTAGAAACAGTCATTGCTTTAAACGGTAAGCAAGTGTCCTTTCTCATAGAACAAGATTTACACTTAAATATTGCAATCACTAGTCTAATTTGGTTAACAATGCTAGAGTCTGACAATTTAAAGAAACTCTTTGTGGGCTCAAAATACCTTTCTTTTTTTTTTTTTTTTTTTGACATTAAAAGGCATTTTGTAGCAACAAAAAATTTCTTGTTTCCACTAAGGCTAGTTAAAGCTGTAGTGTGCCCATTTCTACCAAATAAACCTACCACTAGCACACTAACAATTTGAATCGCAAAGCCCTCGGAGAGGATGAGTAGCATGTGATCTGAAAAATGCCATCAGAATATTGTGGGTTTGGTGGTAACCAAGTTTGAATGACCCTGGCAAGGGAGAAGGCGGTGATGACGGAAATTCAGTGGGGGCTTTGCCTGGGCACACCCTCATACTGAGCAGTGGACAGTTCATTTCCAAAGTGGTCCCTCTAAGCTATGGATCACTGCAGCTTTAACAGCCAGATCTAGATTCCCAACCAGGTCTCCCTCTGTATCATAAATTATCCAAAAAAGAAGCCACTCTAAATAATAAATTAAATATTACTTATAAAAAGTACACCCTGGACCCACCCACCCAGCCC